TTGAAACAATATATGTTACATGATCTGATGTATGTGCAGGTACCTGGCATACAAAATAGCCAAAAACTGCCTTTTTTGAGGTGAGTCCAGGAAGATAAATCACAGATTTTGCTGAAAGAATAATTGCTTTCTTTTGAAGAATTTCTACTTGCTACTGCAATGGTTTTTTTTCACATGAGAAACAGTACCTATTTATTTGGGGAAATTTAAATTTTAAAATGGAGTTTGGTGAGTTTACAAAAAAAATTAACTTACATGTTTGCCTGCAATAGAGAAATTGAAGCTTAGTCCTAAAAGAGTTTCTTATCAGTCTGGTGTTCTTAAATGAAGAATTTGGGGGAAAAAAAAAAAGTTAATCATTTATAGCAGGCAGCAAGGACAGCAGAGACTTTAACCTGTGCCTCAGGGTCAGTGGGATGTGTGACCTGTGTAGGTTCTGCTGTGACCCTTCTGCCCAGCTCAGCCTGCCCAGAGGTGCTCCCCAGCACCATGGCCTCCTGCAGGAGGAACCTGCTCAGCCCTTGGATGAGCACAGGCCAAGAACCAGCCCCAGGGTTTTAAAACTAGGGAAGAGCATTGACATTCCCTGGGGGCATTGAGAAGAGCGTGTCCAGCAGGTCAGGGAGGTTCTCCTGCCCCTCTGCTCTGCCCTGGGGAGGCCTCCCCTGCAGCCCTGGGGGCAGGTCTGGGCTCCCCAGTTCCAGAAGGACAAGAACTACTGGGGAGAGCCCAGCACAGGGCACTGAGATGCTGCAGGGGCTGGAACATCTGTCTGTGAGGAAAGGCTGGGAGAGCTGGGGCTGTTCAGCTGGAGAAAAGGAGGCTGAGGGGGGATCTGCTCAGTGCTGATCAATATCTGCAGGGGGTGTCAGGAGGATGGGCCAGACTCTGCTCAGGGGTGTCCAGGGACAGGACAAGGGGCAATGGGCACAAACTGGAGCCCACGAGGTTGAAGCTGGAGATGAGGAAACCCTTCTTGAGTGTGAGGGTCCCAGAGCCCTGGGCCAGGCTGCCCAGGGAGGCTGTGGAGTCTCCATCCCTGCAGACATTCCAGCCCCACCTGGCTGTGTTCCTGTGGGATCTGCTCTAGGGGATCCTGCTCTGGCAGGGGTTGGACTGGGTGATCTCCAGAGCTCCCTGCCAACCCCACCGCTCTGTGAGTCTGTGATTCTGTGACATGGCCACAGCAAGAGGGCTGAGATGAAAAATCTCAGACACCCAAAGGCCTGAAGGGATGGGTGCCAGGCTAGCAAGGGAGCAGGCAGGAGCTTTATGTTCCTCCTTGCTCAGCACTGTCTGCTGCTCTGGCCTCTGTTGTAGCAAACCTGTGCCTGCCATCAGGCTGGGGCTTTGTCTTTCTCTGTCCCTTTTCCTTCTTCAGCTGTTCTGGCAAGCCAAGTTCCTTGCATCAGTTGTGTTCTCCCATCCTGGTACCATCCTCCCTACATACTTTTCATACTTTCTGTATGTTGTCACTAACGGCCTCATTAACTTTTTGGTAACTATGCAAGTGAATGAATTTCCTGACCTCTGTGCAATTGATCTCTTAGAAGAAAAGCTCTTCCTACCCAGAGGAGATTCTCAGCTGCTCTCAGGGTCAGGCTGCTGATTGTAGCATTGGTGGGGATGCTGTTGCAACACCACTGTGGTCAGCAGTGAATTCTGCCTTCACAACTGAAGAGGCCTTTCAGGCTGGGTGCTTCAGTGTTTGTGTTTTATATAAAGCAATATTTATATATAGAGAGAGGCTCGGCCAGCCCTTTGTGGAATTTTACTGGAGAGAGCAGTGGGTGGTTTTTACAGGCAGGGGAGCAGCCCATGAGTGTGGGGCCAGGGCTGTGGGCTTCCTGCAGCTACTGGTGCTGCCAGACACTCTTCTAGCTTCACTCAGGCCTTATTCTTCCCTATTCCTGCTTCCTCTGCCTGCTCCTTGGCATTTTTAATGGACAAATTAGAGGTGAAAAACTGCAGTGCGAACCTGTAGTGCTGGGTTCTGTGACAGTTCTCCTGTTCAGAAGTCATAAACAGCAAAAATTACTGTCTGTTAATGTATACCTGGCATTCTGTTTGGCTTTTTATGTTTGCTTAGCATAGGTGCTGCAAATTAAGTAAGAGGGATAATGACACTACAGAGTGAATTTCTTTGTTGGAACTGAGTAAGATTTTAATAACGTTGAAAACAGAAGACTGTTTTCACAAGAAACAGCTATGTCTACTCCTAAGTTACACCCTTGAAAGATGGGTGAAATATGGCATGGCACAGATATTTCTTTAACATAAATCCTTTATTACTTTTTATAGAAGTGGAAACTGTTCTATAGGACACATAGGAAAAAAAGAGTTGTATTTTATATAGTTTTAGAAAGTAACTGGAGGAGGATAACTGATAATTCTGCACAACAAAGTGATACAAGACAAGGAAGATTTATTCAAGGCTGCACAGGGATATTTTATAAGCTCCTAATAGCCTTACATTGAAAACAGGGGACAGATATAATTCTCAAGGGAGCAGTTAGTGCAAAGATTATCTGGACCTGATCAAAATCATAGCCCTGGTGATGCTCCTGGGATTTGGGTTTTTAAAAAATAGTGGAGTGCATTGTCTGTAGCTCTCTCAGTCTTATGGATTCACAAGTTGTTCTCTTCTTTCAAGCCTCTCCAACAAGAAAGAGCATAAATAACATGTTTTTCTTCTCACTCTTGCTGGGTAGAAGAGAAATGATGGACCTGCTATTTCTGGTACTGTGAGATGTAATTAAAAACCTCAAGATGAATGTACAGGAGTTTGAAATGATTGAATTCTTCCTCTGGACAATACAAGCTGGGCTCTCTGACACTGCCATTTCCTGATGCATAGTAACGGATATTGCAGATACTGGGGATCCTGGTTCCAGGCAGGCCACCTGTTATGAGCCAGTAGAAGATGTAACTGTGCAGCTTCTTGTGATTTAATTTGCTAATTTGCTAGAGGTCTTGTGCTTTCAGTCATTCTGCATGCTGCAGCAGTAGCCCAAGTTGTTGAACTTGGCCCTGCTCTGCTATTTTTAAAACGAGTTTGTGTTTTTTCATGGGAACAGTTAAAACGAAACTAGAAAAGAGGAACTAAAACAAGTTGCTGACCATATTTATCTGCATTAATAGGGGAACAAAGGTTACATTTCAGAATAATCCTTGCTTTTCTGTGGTCCAAGAGAGTCCAGAAGCTTTCCAGGTCAGGTTTAGCCTTGCTTTGGTTTACTGCTGGCTGCTTAGTCCTCAAGAAGCTGTTCTCTTGGGAGGGGGTTGATAGGCTGAAGGGATGCTGTGCTCACATTCAGGTTCTGACCATGTCTCTCACAAGTTTTGTTAGGAGAAGAAGCACACCCTCCTGTGTGAAGATTGCCTGGCCAAGTCTTCAAGGGGGAAGTGGATTCAGCTTTTGAGCTTCCACGGTGGGTTGAGCTCAGACTGCTGTGGAACAGCTGTTGTCAAGAGAACAGGGTAGAAAAACAGCTCCATCTGAACAGCAGCAATGTCAATG